GGAAAGGACGCTCTGCTCGAAGGAACTCTCTGCCACCTCTCTCAGCAAGCTGTCTATGGACACCACGGGGCTTTGGATGCTGCTCACCATCTCCGACACATCTGCTGAATCCAACCCTAGGATGTTGGTGCCCGTCACCCCCAGGAGGAAGCCCAGCAGGAGCATGTTGCTGTTGATGGCATTCATGTCCAGCTCCGAGTTGATCATCCTCAACAAGAGGTCTTCTGTGGTCTGGGCCACTATTTCCTGGCTGGAATTCAACAGCCCCAGCACGTTCTGAGGGATCAAGATCAGGCTCTGCAGATCAGATGCGCAATCCGGGGACAAACTGGGACTGCTGTGGCTGGGAGGCTGCACGAGAGCAGCTGCAGCTCCTTGGTCTGCCAGGTCATCCTGCTTGGTTGGGGATCTGATGACGAGGTGGATGTTGGCTCCGTTGTGAACCTGGTGCTGGCTCAGGGTGTCGCGGTCTTTGAGGATCTTCCCGGCAAATATCAGCACCAGCAGATCAGGGCGAGTTTGGAAACGTGCGGCGATGTCTTCCTTCAACTGCTGGATGGTGCTGCCCTGAGCAACCTCAAAGCGCTCCTTCTGCTTCGGGGTCTTCACCACCACACTGATGATGTCTGCAGGATCCGTGGTGACGACGGGCAGACCTGCGCCTGCCGCCCCTTTGTGCTCTGACATGATGGTGGCTCTGCAACCAGGGCTGTGATTCGATCTGTTGAGCAGCAGAGCTGCTGGGAGGTGGGGAGTGCCGGGAGGGGGCAACGGCTGGCAGCCAAAACGAGGGCAGTTCCTCCTGCTATGGTGACAGCTGGGAGGGAGAAGTGGCACGGAGAGAGACCGCCTCTCTCCACAGCACCAGAAGGCACATACCAGCCAGATGTGGCACAGCTGCTCCGCTCGCTCACCACCCCATCGTCCCTGCCCTCATAGAACTGCTGGCCCCGTGCTGTGACATCACACTGAGCAGGGTGGGTGCAGAGGGGCCCATCCTCACCTCCGCCGCCCCCAGCAACCGAGCCCCAGGCTGTGCAGAGTTCCTGTGGAGCCTGTTCAGTTCCATTCTGCGTTCCCAACAAAAGCTCGCTCAGCACCATTAGCAGAAAGCCTCTCCCACAGTAAGCTGCAAAAGCCAGTGCTCCTCCTCAAACGTTGCTCATGTTGTGGAGGCAATTTACCCAAACCCTGCTGCTCTGTGAACAAGCCTTGAGGAGGTCCCTGGTTAGAGAGTTCTTCTGAGCTCTGGGTTTGCTAGAAGAAATTTCCCATCCTCTGTGTGGTTTCTTTCTGCTGCTCATCCTCGGTGGGAGCCCAGCAGTGCTGCTGGTGGCACTCGGGAGGGGGAGGAGATGCTGAATGGCCCTTGGTATCAATGCAGGAGAACAAAGATTTCACTGGGAAAACAACACTGCACCTAACAGCTTCCGTCCTTCTCATAGGGACATGGCCTAGACTGGGGAAACTGATGGAAAACTTGCTCTCATTGAGCCTCTTACTGCACTCAATTATTCTCATTATTCAAAATAAGGCTCTTCTAATTGGAGTGTGTCTGGCTTCATTTTTTCACTCATACAAATTCTTCAAGGCTTCACAACAGCCCTCAGCATCAGACATTTTCCCCCATTCCACACTGAAGCCATCAGAGCCCCATCCCTGACCTTGGTGTCTCCAGAGATGGGACACCACCGCCTCTGGGCAACCCGTGCCAGCATCTCACCACCTTTACTGTAAACAACTCCTTCCTGATATCCAGCCTAAGCCTCCCCATCTCTATGCTGGGTCTGCTCACAGCCCCAGGGAGGAGTCAACCGTCACGGCCAGCAGTTCTCAGAGCTATTTGTTGTCCAAGCCCAAAGGCTTCTTTGTTGTCACCTTCAACTCCTGGCGCGCCCTGGGACCCTCGCATCCACCCATGGGGGGCCAACCATCACCCCAAGTGCCCCCAGCACAGTGCTGCTTCCCACAGCCCCCAGCTGGGGGACGGCATCCACACACAGCTCTGCACCACCGGCTGCAGAACAGCAAGATACAGAGCACAGCTCTCAGTGGGGAGCTCACACCAAGGCTGCGGTGAGCCAGGCTCCAGCAGCACCTCCTTTATTCTCAAGTAGGTGTAGTGGTTGTCTGTCTGTCTGTCTGTCTGTCTGTCTGTTACAGTGAGGTGTCTATCAGATTGCTGTCACAATAAAAAATGACGGTTCTATTCAGTCCTCAGGAAACTCAGTCACCCAAAAATGGAAGGAAAATGCAGTGACACGATTCTGTGGAAGCTAAGCGCCAGAAATAGACACTGATTGCTATTGATTACATTATTACCTTTTTACTGTTATTGATCAAGTCTCACATTCCCATTTCATTGTGCTATTTGGAGCTAATGTCAAACTGAGCAGTGTCCAATTTCTCCCATCATCCCCTTCCGCCATTTTAGCACTGGCACAGGGCAGTGTTGCTGTCTGGGTTTGCTGGGCTTGGCGATGCCTGCAGAACCCTCAGGTCTGGTGGCCTCCAGCAGCTCCTGCAGCCCATCTGGACCTGATGGCTTCCAGCTGACCACAGCTCCCAAAGGCTAGAGAAGGGATAATCTGAAAATGGGCAAGATCGCAGCATCAGACTCGCAGAATGGCTTGGGATGGAAGGAAGCTCAAAAATCATCTGGTTCCAACCTCCCTGCCATGGGCAGAGCTGCCATCCACTGGATTGAGTTGCTCAGAGCCCCGTCCATCTGGCCTTGAAGATCTGGTCTTAGATAGGGAGGTTGGTGGCCCTGCCTGCAGCAGAGGGGATGGAGCTTGATGGTCCCTTCCAACCCAAGCCATTCTATGGTTCTAGGATTCTGCGGTTCTATGATTCTATGATTCTATGATCTGAGTCACGATAGAATAAAGCACGGGCAGCTCCTCCGTGCAGATGGGAGTGAGATGAGGGTATGCCAAGGAATGCATTGGGTGAATCAGTGCACTGGCAAGAAGGCCAGCATGTAAAACACAGCATAAGGGGGAGTTGAGCTCGAGATAAGCAAGGCTCAGGTCTCAGACACTCACACTTCTGAGCTGTATTTCGTCTAGAAGTGCTAAATACTGGGCAGTTTGGTCCATCAGGTTCCTCTCCTCTATTCAGGTCCCTCCACTTGCACTTGGCAGCCTCGTTTCTGCTGTTTGAGTCTCTGAAGTAAGGAGTCTTTGGCACCCAACTGTCCACGGCTGGTGGGAACCAGAGCAAAACATGCAGCTGAGCTCCTGGGACAGCCGTCCCATGGGTGCCTTTCTGGGACACGTTTTGGTCCTGATGTAACTGCGAAATCTTCAGGGCTGGAAGGATCCTTCAGAAAATTCCCCACTTGCACAGAGAAGGCAGGCACACCGCACCTCCTGCCCAGGGATGCTGCTGGCAGAGCAGCCAGCCGAAGGGAGTCAGAGTTCAGAACCTGCCTCTGGAACCAGAAATGCCATCGGAACTCAGGGACCTCGACCCGACCACAGGGAGCCCAGCAGGACCGCGACGCTCGGGCGCCAGCGCTGCCGTCCCGCTCACGGCCAGCTGCGGCTGTTTGGTGCCGCCGGGGCTCCGCGGGGCGTCGTCAGCTCTGCTCCCCCAGGAGCGACGCGGATCTCACGGCCCAGGTCAACAGGTTGAGCCCCGCTGTTGGGGCGGGGGCTGCAGCCCCGCAGACCTCCGGGCCGTCCTCAGCGAACCGCCCGAGGCATCGCCGCCCCAGCCGCGGCCATGCGTGTGCGATCGCTGCCTCCTGCTGGCGCTCGAGGGCTGCCGGGGCCGCGGAGGAGCCGTGAGGCGCCGCTCCGTTCACAGCAGGACCCGTTTCGGCTTTCTGTGAGCCCCGATGGAGAGGAATTCGGTGGAGACCAGCAGACGTTCGTGCTGCAAAACTCACTGCTGATTTTGTCTCATGTCCAATTTTAGAAGAGAGTAACGAGTTTATGGGCCTGCTCCTCCTCCAGAAACCCCGGGCGCACCAAGCATTGGGTGCTGAGGTCAGAGGAACCGCAGCCACTGCCACGGCCTCAACATGGCAACCTTCAAGGACCTTCAAGGACCTTTGAGGACCTCCGAGAACCTTCGAGGACCTTTGGGGACCTCAAACACGTCAGGGCAGGACAGAGTACCAGGATGTGCCATGTACGGCTTTCCACTTACGAGTGGGCTGGGGATTTTTATTAATTAACATTTACTGAGACGCGGTGATGACAGCAGTGAGACGCAGTGAGATCACTCAGCTTTGCTACTGTAATTTATTACCCACTGCAGCCTGCAGATGAAGAGCAATTAATAAAGCGCTGCTGTAGGCAGTGGTAGGAATGAATATGAATGTGGCAATGGAACACATGGGGCTTTGTTCGCCCTGACTGCTGTGCTTTCTCCATCTCCCTCCAGTGAAGCACTCAGTGAAGCTGAAGAGCTTTCCCCCTCCCAGCTCGGAGCCTGACTCAGCACCTGGAGCACGACGAGCTCATGCGGGCTATTTAGCTAACATTTTAACCACGCTCTGAATATAAATCTTCCCAACCAAGTGGCTAATACCCCATTATGCATGCCCCTGTGGGCACTAACTGCACAGCTGGTGATTCATTGACCCAGGGACATTTTCCCGTGAGATCTGCACCCTGACCCAGCCAGCACCTCCATCAGGGCTGAGGGCTGTGCCTCGTGTTCAGCTGTTCTTGGAAAGCCAGAAGAGCAGCAGAATCCCTGCTGTGAGCCCACGCAGTGCACACAGAACCCATCCCAGGGGGGCTGGTTGCTCAAGCTGGGTGACGCTGTGGTGCCTGCAGGGATGCCTTCCCCCCAGAGGCTCCCACGCACTGGAGAGGTCCTCAGGTCAGCAGAACCTGAGCACGGTGCTGTTGTGGCCACTGGGATGCCAAGACCAACCTATGGTCCAGCACTCTCCTGTTGACAGGATCAGAATCACAGGAACGGTTTGGGTTGGAAGGGACCCTTAAGATCACCCAGTTCCAACCCCCTGCTCCAGACAGGGACACCTCCCTCCACATCAGGTTGCTCACAGCCCACCCAGCCTGGCCTTGAATGCCTCCAGGCAGGGGGCATCCACGGTGCTGGGCAAGCTGCTCCAGTGCCCTGTTATCGTTGTTCTCTATGCATTTTCCAGTACTTGGTTTGGAAGCACTTTGAAGCCGGGTCTATTGCTTTGTTTCTCACCTGTGCAGCTCCCGCTGAGCGTGCTCCCACTGCTCCCTAACTCCAGGATGGGCAGTGATAAGAGGGGCCATTCCCAGCAGCAGGCTCCAACTCGCGTGCCCTGAGCACAGCCACGTGTGGCCAAACTGCTGCCGTGCTTAAAGGTGAGCACACCCTGCAGATCAACAACAAGGAGAGGCAACAGAAGGGGAAGCAGACAAGACAGCAAAAATAACCACAGAGCTGGGACTCCATGGAGCTGAACTGCCTTGCAGTAGTGAATCTGTACGGCGGGTCGGCTGCCACTCGAGCTGCTCAGAAACCTTCTGGGAGAAACCTCTGCAGCAGAAGGGTTTGTCAACCAGCTCGTGCTTTGGGCAGGGCTGGGGGGACCCCGCAAAGCCTCCTGCAGGCACAAGCATCCAGATTCTCACCCCAACCTCCAGGCTGCTGTGACAGCCCTGAAAACCCCAAAGCATCTCATTGCAGCTGAATGTATTTATTCGTGCTATGGCTACACCAGATTGCTCTCCCGACCTGTTGCTTTTGATATAGTGCAGCGTCCTATCAGAGATCACGTGGGCTGCTCTCCATAAATACTCTTTGCTAAGAGAGATACAAAAATGCTTTGGGAACAGCAGTTCGAGCAGCATTTCCACCAGCTCTGTTATCACTGCTAAGCAAACAGCCCTGAGTGAACAGACCTTCATTTCCGCTCCGCCTCTCACGGGCTTCCCAGCTTTGACAAAAGCACACACAACAAAATAAAACCGCAAAGAAAAAAAGAAATGTGCTGAAAGTGCCGCGAATTATTACTGTTTTTTTGTTTTCTTTTTAATTCTGAAACTGTGGATCTCTTTCTCTCTTCTCTTGAACTTGCAGCAGTGTCACTGGGAGGCCCGGAACGGAGCGGGGTTGTGTAGCTGCATCCCTGTCCATCTCATCCTGCCCGTCTCGCGCCCTTGGCTCCACCACACAGCGCTGTTCCATGGGTCTCACGGCTGACACGGAGCAGAGCATCCCGGCTCCTGGCACTGCTGTGGGAGTGGGAGTGCAGGGTCAGCCTCCAGACACAGCCCCCAAATCACCGCCCTCACAGGGCTGTGGTTGCTGCCCAGATGAAGATGGTTTCGCTGGTCAGGATGCATGAAGCCCCAAGCTCAATACAGGCACAAAATTGTCTCCAAGTGGGGGTAGAAAATACGGATCAGAAAGCAGGAACGATGCAGGAGGGAGAGGCAAGCCTTCATCTCAACTCCACACCCAGTAAAACACAAAGGAAAGATGAAAGCAGGTCTCCAGGCTCTGGTGCACTTCCTACTCTTCTTCTTCATCCCATGGGCGATGGAAATTTTGGCACTTAACCACTGAGCCAGAATGATCATAAGACCAGACAGCAGAGCAATCCCACTCACCTAAGGAATGCTATGCAGAGCTCCAGATGGAAGGACTGCTGTGCTTCCCTCCACGATGGAAGCAGACAGAGCCATGGCTGAGATGCTTCCAGGGGACTGAGAAGCTCCAGATACATCTGGTGCTCACTCTGCATCGTTGCATGGAGGCGGATTGCCACCAGCTTCAGGCAGAACACAGCATGATTGGTACAACAGGTCTGTAGACCAAAGTGAGGAGTGAGAAAATGTTGGACAACGCTGTCCTGGTGGTGGAGGATAAGTGGAATGTATGGCGCCAAATTGATGGGTGATCAAAGAGCAGCATAGGAGCAAAGGACGTGGACTTTACACTGAGCACTGCTGTGCTGTGAAACAATTTTGTAAGAAAAAATTGTCCCTATGGGATGCGAGGACTTGAGACCATTGTCTGCCTCCAGTTCTTTGATCAGAGAGTGGTGAGGTGCTGGAACAGCTGCCCAGAGAGGCTGTGATGCCCCGTCCATCCCTGGAGTTGTTCGAGGCCAGGTTGGATGGGGCCCTGGGCAGCCTGGGCTGCTGTGAGATGGGGAGGTTGGTGGCCCTGCATTGGTGGGGGTTGGAGCTTCGTGATCCTTGAGCTCCCTTCCAACCCAACCATTCTGTGATTCTGTGATTCAGTTTGCTGTGGGGTTTTGAGTGTGGCATTGGACGCTGTGGTTTAATGGACATTTCCTCATCCGACCCACGTGTCCCATCTCTGCTGCATGGAGCACTCAGGGGCAGCATCAGTAGCAATGAAGGGGCTGATGGCCCACGTATCCGAAAACCCTTCAGCTTCTCCAGAGCCTGGTGGACAAACCCATCACCCCAATGCAAGCACACCTCACACTGCCTTCCAGACCCCATCCCGCGTCCCCTTTCCCTCAGCAGCGGCTCCCACAGCTGGGATGGAGGCACTGCCCCGCAGGGCAGAGCAGCCGGGCCACGCGCTCGCGGATCTGCCGCGTCCTCACCCCGTACACGATGGGGTTGAGCATCGGTGGGACCACGACGTAGAGGTTGGCCAACAGGATGTGGACGTGGCCTGGGATGCTGTGGCCAAAGCGGTGCGTGAGGAAGGAGAAGAAGGCGGGCGTGTAGAACATGAGGATGACGCAGAGGTGGGAGCCGCAGGTGCTCAGGGTTTTGAGGCGAGCCTCGGGGGACGGCAGCTGGAAGACGGTCCTGAGGATGAGCCCGTAGGAGACGGCGATGAGCACCACGTCCAGCCCGGAGGACAGCAGCGCCGTGGTCAGCCCGTACCACACGTTGGCCCTGATGTCGGCGCAGGCCAGGCGGGCGATGCCCATGTGCTCGCAGTAGGTGTGGGGCATGACGTTGTGCCCGCAGTAGGGCAGCCGTTTCAGCAGGAAGATGGGAGGGAACATGATGCAGAAGCCCCGGAGCACGGCGCTCAGCGCGATCTTCCCGATCACCGAGGGCGTCAGCGTGGAAGGGTAGCGCAGCGGGTCGCACACGGCCACGTAGCGGTCGAAGGCCATGGCCAGCAGGACGGACGACTCCACGATGAAGCTGAAGTGGGTGAAGAACATCTGAGTGATGCAGGCGTCGAAGGAAATTTCTCGGGCGCTGAACCAGAAGATCGCCAGCATTTTGGGCACCGTCGTGGTCGAAAGCATCAGGTCGGACACAGCCAGCATGGCGAGGAAGAGGTACATGGGCTCGTGGAGGCTGCGCTCCGTGGCGATGACGAAGAGCAGGACGGAGTTGCTGAACAGTGCAGTGATGTACATCAGGCAGAAAGGGACAGAGATCCAGATGTGGGACTCCTCCATGCCCGGGATGCCGGTCAGGACGAAGGTGATGGGGTCGAAGCTGCTTTCGTTGAGCTCATGCATGGTGCTGCTGCTCCCGGCGTCATAAGGGAAAGAATGAGGATAAATAATGCTGTGTGTTAACCCCTGCCATCGACACATGAATGTTGCTGTGTGCAGCTGGTCTCCAAACGGAGCCGTTCTGAGGCTGAGGGCCTCACTGGGTGCATTTTGCTGCACAGAGGAATCTACTCACCTTTGCCTATCAACCCCCGTGAACTGTGTCTGAATGAGAAACATCTCCGTCCCTCCACATGAGCTGTGCAACAGGTTGGGTCCTGTTATCTCTCTTACATACTGTCACAAGAAGGCACTTGGCTTGCTTTGTGGCAGGCAATTGTCAGCCCCATTTGATGAAACAATACAATGCCTCCATCAGTTCAGATCAGTTTCTGAGAGCTCTTGTTGAGTCAGGAATAAAACCAGCTCTGATGCTACCAGGTGTCTTGGGGGTTGTTGAGCACCCCTGGAACTTCTGCTGGACCAGTTTATCCCTCTGTTTCCACCCACAGAAATATGTTGATCCATTTGTAAATGATATAAAGTGTTTTTTCATAGAATCATAGAACGGCCTGGGTTGCAAAGGAGCACAGTGCTCACCCAGCTCCAAGCCCTGCTGTGTGCAGGTCGCCAACCAGCAGCCCAGGCTGCCCAGAGCCACATCCAGCCTGGCCTTGAATGCCTGCAGGGATGGGGCATCCACAGCCTCCTTGGGCAACCTGTGCCACTGCCTCACCACCCTCTGCCTCCAAAACTTCCTCCTCACCTCCAACCCAAACCTCCCCTGTCTCACTTTCAAGCCATTCCCCTTGTCCTCATCCCCCCTTATTGTATCCCTGGCCCATCCCAGAGAGGCTACAAAGAGCCGAACGCGGGCAGACCTGCAGGAATGCAGGACCTCCCCAGACCTTCCCAGGCACAGCAGCCATTCCGTGCTGGTTGCCCTTTTCCCACTCAGAGGCACAGAGGCAGATTTCTCTCACCTGTCAGCTCACTGCTTTCTGCTCCTTTCAAGCAGGAATCCTTGCCCAAACACCAATGCTGGCACAACACATCCCACAGGGTCGGCCCAGCTCTCAGCTGAGCCCCAATGGGGGCAGTGAGGGTCCTCCCTGAAGGCTTGGGGGCCGTGGTTAAACCTTCCCCTCCCGAACCACAGCAGGAGCTGTGGTGTTTTGTGGGCTTTTAAACTGCTCTGCATTAAAGATTAACCAGAAGTGACCCTGCAGGTGAGTGAAGGCATTTCCTGCTCTCCACCATTTGCGCTGCACTCCCACTCAGTGCACGCAGCAGAGCCTGCATCACCCTGCTGGTGGCCCTGCACTGTCCCACCAGGTGCCTGCTGGTTTCTCGTGCTCCAAAACCTCCCCAGCAGCCCCCAGCTCTGCCCCTGTCTCTGTGAGAAGGGTTCCTCCCTCTGACTCCAACCCACAGCAAACAGCACAGCGGCCGCGTTGATGTGCTCACACTGCACAGCAGCTGCAGAGGCCTCTGCTCAGGTTGAGCTGCTGGTCTGGGCCAGCACTGACCAGAACACCAGAACTGCATAACTCATAGCTCATTGCTATTGCAAAGGCATTTCTAACATGTGAGATGGTGGCCAAACAAAGGAACTGGAACGACAGCTTTGTTTGAAGGATGCAAAACAATACTGAAACATCTGCCTGCATCTGACAAGTTGAAGATCCGTCCACGTGGCAGAAAAATGAGCCTGAAGTCCTAAGGACTCTGTGAACTGACGATTTCTTTCCACACAGAACCAAAGCAAAGTGATTGAGAGCAGCTGTGTTCTTTTTGGACGAAACCAGCAGTATGAATCCAGTACAACTCGGCTTGCAGTGCAGTGCCTGTCATTCAGAGATTTCTTGCATGGTTCCATTGCTGTACTGCCTCAGGCTCAGAACAACAGATGCAACCAACGCATGCAGACAGCAGATACGCTTCAGGACTTCCATCAGCTGCACACCAACACAGAGTCACAGAGTGCTTCCCCCCCTGGCTGCCCAGTGCTGCCCTGCTCCACTGCCCTCTCTGCCCATCACCTGCCCTGCTCCTCCCTGCCTCATCCTGCCTCTCTTTTGCCCACCTCCAGCCCCTCTCCTGCCCAGCCCTCACTGCAGGAGCTCTGCATCTCATTCATCTGGAGAACACCAGGCGGGTTTCTGGTACCATCAGTACTGGTCACGCTCAGTCCTGCCCACGTTCCTGTCAGCATTTGCTGTCAGAGGGACCGCTGCCCCACAGCACCAAGCTGGGAGGACCTGGAAACACCAGGACTGAGAGGATCAGCCCCACCATGCAGGGCTGGAGTCGCTGCCGCCCCACGGATGCTGGGGCAGCCCCGGTCCATCCGTGTGCACCAAGCCCAGTAGGCAGTGGGGCACGATCTATCCGAGGTCAGCAACGAGCAGAGTGCAGCTGGGGTCAGTGCTGGGTCCGGTCCATCCAGCGTCACCATTAAAGGTCTGGGCAACGGGACAGAGCACACCCTTGGTACAGTCACAGATAGCATGAAACAGGGGAGCCTCTGTGGGGCCGGCACCACGTGCTGGAGGCTGGAAAGGCGCCGTGTGCTCCGCTGTGGACTCTAGAGGTCTCTGTGAGGTAAGAAATGCTGTAGGGCCGCAGCGCAGGCAGTGGGATCCTTCCCGGAGAGATCCTGCAGCAGCGGCACTGAGTGCAGTTGTGGTGAATGAGGAGGGTGAGGGGCTCCACAGCCTGGCACGGAGAGGATGCCAGCCCGCAGGTTTGCAAGGCACATCGTGGCACAGCCCCATTCAGATCCTCATCATCTCCTCCGGGGAGCGTTGGCTGCCCAGCACGCGCTGCAGTGAGCAGTTCCCAAACACCATCGCTGCCCTGGGGGGCGCTGCCAACCCCTCACACACGGACCCTCACTCACACGGAGCACGGACCCTCTGCACCGGGTTTGGGCCTCTCCTGGGGGCTGCTGGCAACACATCGGAGCACCTCTGCAGCCCCGTGCCCAGGGACAGCCAATGGCACAGCGCCTGGTGAGGGACCCCTCTTTGCTGTGCCGTTTTCCCCTCTTCATGCTCCCCCCCTTTAGCCCCGCAGCGGGGCTGTGGGGACACACAGGCTGTGCACACTGTGCTCCCTGCCCAACATCACCTGCTCACGTTCCCAGGCCGGGCTCAGCTGGTGCTGCCAGCTCTGCTAACGCAGCCGCTGCGCCATTGTTTGAAGGCTTTTCAATTATCGCTGTTTATTTCACAGTCCTCGTCCTCCCAGCACACGATGCTTCCCTCCCCACTCTGTGGTTGCAGAGATCACGGCACAGCCTGGACGAGACGCGGTTCTGCTCTGGCACAGCCCCAGCACAGCAGAGCTCCCTTGGGTCGGTGCTGATGCTTTTGGCATTTCTCTCCCGCCGCCACTTGGAGCCACCGTTTCCTCAGAGCTGAGCGCTTTGCTGTCGGAGCAACGAGGTCCCGTGGGACCCGAACGCCTCCCCACACCGGGAGCAGTGGGTCAGAGTGAGACGCAGCACCGCAGCTCTGGATGTCCAGGAGGAGCTGTGCCGTTGGCCCCTGCCTCCTCCGTTCCCTGATGCCTTCAGTGCCCAGATGTCTGCAAAGCAGAGAAGCCAAACGCTGCTGGGAGCAGCCTGCCCTCCCCGCAGCTCCTGTCCCACACCCGGTGCATCTGCCTGAATCTCAGTGTCTCATCTGTCTGAAGCCATTGGGGCAGATCTCAGCGCTTGCACTCCAGCTGCTCTCCAAAAGGCACCTCTGCAGTTCAGCTCTCATTTCACCATTGGACTTGGTTCTTTCAGTTTCCAAAGCACAGCACTAAGAATGTCCCACGAAGAGATCAGAGCATGCAGACTGGAGTTCCGCAGCACCAAATTGGTTGCATTTTTCTTCTTCCACAGGGAGGGGAATTGCTCACACCAGAAGTGCCCAGGAGGAGCCCATCTCCTGCTCACGGGCCATTGCTGGGCTGTGCCGTCCCGGGAAAGCTGAGACCCCCGACTCTGTGCATGCCCAAACATTTGCTTTATGACTGCATTTCCAACCACAGAACACGCAGAGCGATGCCCAGTATATATTTAACCTTTAAGTGTTTTCTCTCTGGGAGAAGAGGAGGCAGAACACGGTGCTCACCGCTCATAATAGCTCAGCAGCAAGCACCACACGGCCTCGAGGTCAAGAGAACAGAAATGCAGAGAAGCAGCAGCACGGATGCTCCAGAAATGCTATTTTCACTCCCAGGACCATCTTTCCTCTGAGAGCTTTCCCTGTGTGACGTGGAGATCCCACGGCAATAGGCGGGGAGCAGGGCAGAGCAGCGCCAGCAGCAGCACGCTCTGCTCCAACCTCAGCACTCTCAAGTAGCCGTGGCACATTTGTCAGCCCCGCTCAGCACGAGCATCGTGGTGCACACAAAGCAGCTGTGCACCATTGGAAGCAGACAGCTGGCAGCACGGAGCTTTTACCTGTGTGGCAATGGAGACACAGAGCACAGAAGCACCAGCCCTCACCTGCATGGTGCTGTGGCCATGGCCACACTCACTTGAGTCCGACTGCTCCCGTGGCCGTGGCACTGCTGCACGGGACAGGAGTGTCACCTCATGTCTCCTAGGGATGGTGCTCGATTCTCCAGCGTTGGGCATGGTGGGGATGGGCTGACATTTGGGCTCGATGATCTTGGACGCCTTTTCCAACCAACCTCTCCCTTCCAAGCCGTTCCGTGCTTCGATGAATCCAGGCTGGCTGGGCGCTGCTTTATCCTCAGTTACTGTACACAGATCCTCTGTGCTATTTTCGATGAGCTCACAGGCAGTTGGCTGCTCTCTTATTTCTGTCCTTTTCCCATTTCTGGAAGGAATGGCACCAGTGCCACATCAGTGCTGCTGGGTTCCACGCCGCAGGCTGGCACAGCACAGCCATGCTGTGGGGCAGTGGGCAGCAGCGCGCTCCTATTGCACACTGAGGACACACTGAGGATCCCTTTGGGTGCTCAGGTGACATTTGCTGTCACGTGGAGGAATGAGTGCATTGGGTGCAGTTCTCAGCTCACCTGGATTTGCTGCCCTTCCCCCTGGCGTTGTAATCAAAAGGGGGTCGGGGGGGAGGAAGGAGACACTTTTCAGCAGGGTCTTTGTGGTAGGACAAGGGAAATGGTTTCAAACCAAAAGAGGGGAGAATTGGATATAAGGAAGAACACTGAGGGTGGTGAGGCACTGGCACAGGTTGCCTGGAGAGGGGGTGGGTGACCCATTGCTGGGGACACCCATGGTCAGGAGATGGAGCACTGAGCATGGAAACACAGAATGGTTTGAGTAGGAAGGGATCCTTAAAGGCCCAATTTCCCTGCTGTGAACTGGAACAGCCACAGCTGCAGCAGCTGCTCAGCAGACTTGGCCATAGGAGCAGAGCAGAACGCAGGTACAAACTGCCAACAATTATCTGCAGACGGCGACTGCTGCCCGTGTGGAGGAAAGGCAAACACAGCAGGACCCCGGCTGTGGAAAGGAGCGCAGGGCAGCCAGCAGCACTGCTGGAAGGTGAGCATTGCCCCGGTGGGTGAGGGGATGGATGCCCTCAGAACGAGCCCTCCATCCCACACGTGGTACGGCTGCAGTGCACTTCAAGGGCAGCAGCTGCTCCAAAAGCAGAGCCTTTATCTGCACGTCTCCTGCACCAACCCTAAAGCTCCATCACTGTGGCCATCGACCCAGGACAGGCAGATCTTGTTGGGCTGCCCCTGCCACCTGCACCTCCCCAGTGCCTCCCCAGGGACCTGCGTGGAGGTGGGGCTATGGTGCACACAGGTAACATCTCCCCATGGTCCCCAGCGGCTCTCTCAGCAAACAGCCCTCCTTTGACGTGGTAGAACCTATCTACCAATCTACCACCAATGCACCCACAGTTTACGTGGGTCTGACCCAGCAGAGGCTCTGGCCCGTTCCCTCAGAGGACAGGACCGGGATCTCTCCCATGTTTGGTTGGATGAGGTGGGTCGATGGTTGGACCTGATGATCCCGGAGGTCTTTTCCAACGCAGATGATTCTATTCTGATGCTGTCTTTCCAAGAGAAGAACAAAGGGAACAGATCAGTGAAACAAAGAACAGAACCACCTCAAAGCTATCAGAAATAGAGGCGGTTTCACGTGCTTGTGTTGTAATTAGTCCTGGTGCT